ACACACCTAGATTCAAAGAAAACTCGATTCAAAAATCAAAGACCTTACTAATAGAAGAAAACGTAGGCTGATATCTTTGTAGAAAATGTCAGATAATAGCTCTGTGGTCTGAGAGTAATGCTGCTTAAACAAGATCAAATAGCTCAAAAACCAATGGATTTTATTATATTTAAGTTAAAGATTTCCAGTCAACAAAAGGCAAGATGGACAAAGTCAGAAGATAAATGACATATTGGGAGAAAAGATTTGCAACATCTAAAACTGGGGATTTACACCCTGACATGTCAGACACTCCTGCAAATCCACAAGATATAGACAAAAATGTCTTTACGTCTTTTGCCCAACTGAAAAATGGGCAAAGGACATAAGCAGGAAGCCACTGAATGGGAAATCCCAAATGTCTAATGAGTATATATGAAGAGATGCTCAAATTCATCAGTAAGGAGGGCAATGAAAATTAAAACAATAATGAGAAATCACTCCTCACTTACTAGATTGGGAAATATTAGAAGGATGATGTTAACCTTAAAAAAATAAAAGTACCAATTACTTAATCAGCAAAAATGGGTTTACTTGGGAATAGCAGAGAACTGTAATCAGGTACAACCATGCTACCACAAAACCGTAGGCAACTTAGCAAAACACAGGGCAAGACCACCTCTTTTATAGAGGAAATGGGGGAGTGGGGGCCGATGTTATAAACAAAAGGTCCATTGGAGGAAACTGGGAGTTTGAAGTATGGTGGCTTTTGATTGGCTGAGTTGTGACTGTCTCTCATTGGCTGGGCTCTTGATGGGGGGGTGGGGATGAAGAGGCCTGCCTTCCTCCTGCTGGGGTAGTAAAGTAGCTAAAGTAGTAGCCAAGGGTAGGGTCCTTGTCTTCTTAGTGGCCGCAATTGACAAGAGGTGGGGTGTGAGAGCTCCCCCTGCTGGCCTCTGCTCTGTATTCGAAATGAAGTTTCCTCTTACCAATTTTCACAGTGAAAATGACGAGGACTTTATGAAAGATGTGGGGATAGAGATGCCTTTGTACATTCTAGCTGAGAGTGTACATTGGCATAGCTAACATTAGGAGTAATCCGGCACTCCAATCAAACTAGTTATGCACACCTAGTATAAATCCTACTCTTGAATATATAACCCTGAAAAATTCCCTCACACGGGTCCATAGGGACATGGACGGGGACGTTCTGTGCAGTGCTGTTTGCATTAATGGGGAGCTGGAGTCCACCCAGGTGTCACTCATGGGAAGCCTGGACAGTAAAGTATGGGGTTGGCATACTACTGAGTATGATGAAGCAGCTAGAAGCAAACAATTAAATCAGGGGTTCCCAAATGTTCTCACATCACAGCATCCTTAGAATCTCAATTTTCCATGGAACTTCTAGTCCAAAGGCAATGGCTAAGAATTCTGTGTATTTTTTTTTTTT